CTCTCTCACTTTCTCTCTCTCTCTCTCTCTCTTTCTCTCTTCCTCTCTCTCTCTCTTTCTCTCTGTCTAATCAGACTGAAAAATAATAATAGTAATAAAAATGAAGTTAAATAAAATATTTTTAAAAATAACATTCCAATGGTTTATTCAATATCTGTCTTTATTGGAGCCTCAGATAACAATTCAATCATTGCATCTCCATTTCTCAGTATAGATACTCTATTTAACAAGGTCCTGAAAGTGTTTATTAATAAATGATAGGTTAATGAATACATAGCTGTGAATATTTGTGCTCAGATAAAAATAATTTCACCCACTGTGCCATGTGCTCTAATTCTATCTCTGTAATTATAAAGCTTCCACTTTAATACTCAGTTAATTAACTTATAAATAGCAATATTATATAACATTATATTTTGTCATTAAATAAGATAAGTAAATAATAAAAATAAAACCTAGTCTCATAATGTTGGGCTAGCAAATGATGTAATGGCTATGTTGCTGGTCTCCCATGTAGTTGACCACGGTTCGAGTCCTGACTCAGTGGCTTAAACTCACGCTGGGCATGTGTGCGTGCGTGCCCAAGATCCCTAGGGGAGAATGGAGGAGAAGGGATTGTAGCATGGCCATCCCCCCTGGGGGGTGATTTTTCACTTTCTGTCTTCTCTGTCTCTCTCTGTCTTTCTGGCGAGCATGCGCACCCGATACCGAAAACTTCTGAAAAAAATAAAAACTAATCTCATATGTAATTGCTTGAGGAAGGCATTTTAATAATGTTTTTGAGACAGAGGCAGCAATACCATATCCAATGCTTGTAGCAATTTTGGCATAAATACCCTGATTTTCAATGATTCTATAGTTTCGGTGTGACTCTTGAAAATTCAGGTGCTGAGCCATTGTACTGTCATTAAGAGAATGAAAATTTGATCCAATTATAGTATCAAAAGGTGGGGTTTGGGGAAGAGATTACAATGGGCGTTAACCCCACAACTGACTCCTAGAAAGTTTATGAAGAGAGAGAATAAGAAGTACAAACACATGGAACACAGACCACATGCTCCTCCCTTCCACCATGTGACACAGCCAGAACAATCTTACCAGAAAGGATCCCTAGACTTTGGACCTCAAAACCTTGACCTGGATAAACCTCAGTTTTATAAATCATTCAGTTTCATATATTCTCTGTAATTATCCACAAAAACGGACTAGGGCTGATGACATCCTAACCAACATTTGCTAAGTGTATCTTGATTAAGGCTGAAGGTCGGCTCCAAATGTTGGGCTCCCTGTCCCCTCCCTCTTCACCCTAGTTCCCTGAGAACCAGCTGCTGGCCCAGCTGGGCCTTATGAACATCTTATCATAATTTCCTTCACCTCATGGAATTGGTCCATGGCCAGGAGCCATTTCAGATGTATATTCACTCCCCAACAATAACATCACCAGAGTAGGAGCACTAAACCCTCGACATTACTCTGTTGAGTCTATAATTGATAAGCTTACCTTCTATTATAACCTTAAAGCGATGTCTCTACAAACCAAACCCCTTTCTTGGTAACAAGGAATCTATATTGATCTTTAATTGATTTATGAAGGCTTCATTCTTACCATACATAACCTGAGCTTTTCCTCATCACAGCACAGACGATTATCTGCCCCACCACTAGTAGAACATCCTTCCCTAGGTAAGTAAACTCTTGTCTTCCCTGCTGGAACTCTGGGTGTGTTCTCTAGAATCAGTCATCATCATGTGCAAGAACTCTCAGATTTGGGGTTCCCGCAGAATAAGGTATATACAAGTAAATGATGAATCTGCCATTCAACTTCAGGAGGGCACTCAAAAAAACAGAACCATCCAAAAAGCAAAAAGAAGTAAAAATGTGTAGTAATGACATGTGCTACCACCTCTTT